GCCGCGGGGACCTGCGCGCCCACAAGTCTTAATTAATTTATCGCATCTCTGCTTGATTTTTTTTTCACTCGCATCCCTAATCTTTTTAGTTCTGTACATATGCTTTATGCATTGAAATACATTCATATGTCTCTTTTTTTTTAGATGTGTGTTCATATGTCTGTTTCTGGAAGAGAGTTGCTGGAATTGTCATCGCTGTTTCTGTGATTTTACTCTTAACGTAGGTTAGCTTAAGTGAGTGCATTTATTAAAATAAACTAGCTGTAGAAAGAGAGATTCAGTATTTCTCTTTAACGTTTTCTTCCCCTTAGTCTTCTCATTGCTGATGGATAAGAGGTGTTTTCCACCTGTTTCCACCTCTCCCACACACTTGCATGTCTGCTTTTACAGGAAATCTAGAAGAGGAAAGTGAAACCAAGTTGTTGGTTTAGGAATTGTCCTTAGTTGTTTACACTAGCATTAAACTGACTTACTTCATTACTTTTCTGCAGGGTTTTGTTTTATGGCAGCTTGGCAAAGTGCTGAGAAATGGTAAAGACAATAGAGTCATCAGCAGAGTTAGTAAGGCCGTGCTGTGTTGACATGGTTCTGGCCTGGTTAATTGTTTTTACAGCAGAGTTCATAGAGCCAGAACCCCTTTATGAGCCTTATTCTGGCTTCATCACCCTAGATATTACTACCTGTGTTTGCACTCTCCATCAAAGACAGCTTTCTGTTCAGACTTTCTTGCCAGCAGTGTCTCAGGTGTACTTGCAGGAGTCCATTTGCTGGCATGTGCCTGGTGTGTGAGCACATAATCAGGAGTTCCTGGTTACACCGTAGCTGGTATACAGGGAAAACTAACACTGAGCAGTGTACCTTGATTGTTCACCCATTTCATATTTGATTCGATGCAAGTCTCTGATATTTTCAAGCTAGAGAAAGCAGGTCTAGCATTTGTAACTGTGTATACAACTCAATTTTAAATATTTCATGCTAAGTAAGTAATGCTCTCTTCATTTGAACAAAAGATCTGCCTAGATTACTACAACTGGAGCCATGCCCCGATGACTGGCTGTATTACAAGAAGAAATGTTACTATATCATTCGGGGGTTGCAGCAGATTGGGATTCTAGCCAGAAGTTCTGCTCGGCCCATGGAGCTTCTCTTGCAGTGATTCACAGCCACCAAGAGCTGGTAAAGTTTCCAGCACCTTGAATTTAATGTTACCTGCTGCCCTGACAGTTGCTATAACTGCGTCACTTATTCCCCTGCATAGATTGAAACCCAGCATGTTGCACAGCAGACTTGTTCATTGCAAGTTTGTACAATCTACAAACCTGTTCAGTGTGGTCTGCTCACTAATATCCACCTCAGAAACTCTCTTTTATTGCTTTAGAGGTATTTCAGAAATTAAAATGGCAAAATATGTATAAACTAAAAGTAGTCTCTGAAGTGAAGGAATATAAAATTGGAGTTATGCCTCCTAATTATTAAGGAAGGCTGATTTTTTTAAATAGGCAGTTTAGATATGCATTTTAAGTTAGGCAGTTTAGCCTGTCCTCTTCCCTCCCATGCTCTTGATCTTCATTCCTTTTCTAGGGTATGCAAAAGTGATTTATCTCCAGCCAACAGTAATTCCCACACCAAATATAACTCTAAACTAATTTTGAATTAACTGACCACTGATGCATATGTATGTATCTTATATTCATCATATTGTTTAAGCGCATAATTTTAAAGAGTGTACTTTCTTGAGTATAACATGGTTTAGTGGTCAGCTAAGAAAGAGTAATGTGTTACTAGTTCTGTGCAAAATAGTCAATTCCTCTGTTTTCATAAAAGGCAAAAAAGCAAAGACTGATTGTGGTTATATGATACTGGGACCCATGGTACTGAAAATGCTTGCTTCATGCAGTACGTTCTAACTGTGTTTCATATTTTCAAATCATTTTTGATTTTACTGTTTTCTTGAAATCTGCTATAGAAAGTCATACCGACTCAGGATCTTCTGTATGCCTCATGAATGAGAAAAGTGAAAGGCGTCTGAGGAAATATAGTGACACAACAGTCAGGCCAGCCTGTTATGAATCAGGCACTGTGTCCCTAACTGCATATCCTTTTAGTGAAACTTAATTTTCTCTACCTCTTCTGGTGATACAGTGAAACCATTGAACTAAGTGACCAATATGTTGTGTTATATGGTATCCATGATATACCTCTAATGAAATATTTGGGTCTTTTCAATGACAGGGGAGGGCAAGGGATGGGTTCACGGTCAGTAATATCCTGCTTGAATATAAACTAAATATCTGGGATTTAACTGACTGTTAGTGGTGGCTCTAGGGTTTCCTTTCACATTTCAGCTAATGAAATTTAGTAATAAAATATTAGTGATCTGTGGAAAAAATTGTCCACTGTTGTACACTCTGTGAGACTGTTTATGCAGTTTTTATATAAAAAGCTATATAATCATGATGAGCTATCTAATAATAAATTGTAATCATAAAAAGCTATGTAATCATAGCCATATATCATTTTACTCTATTTTGTCTAGAACTTTGTAATATATCGAATACGTACTACAGACTTTTGGACTGGGCTACGCAAGAGAGGAAACGAATTCTTCTGGGTGAATGGAGAGTCATTTGACACAAACTTGTGAGTTTTCTTTTAAATATACTGTGTAGGAGGAGAGTAAGGGAGATCAGTTGCCTTTTGTCTATGTAGAAATGCTATTTTGTATTAACTGTTCTACTGTAGATAAACTGGCATGGCTTACCAAATGAGGGTTGTCATATGACTGTAGAAATGATAATACTGAACTAATTATGTCTGCAGAGAAGTGAGGAAGGGGCACAAAATAAGGTGGAAGTTGCACAGTGTCCCTTTATTCTTGTGTAATGGCACGCACACGAGGCAGGCTGGGCTACTGTGGCCGTATCAGTGAGAGGCACATCACTCCAGGGAATAACTGCACTTGCACAAACTCCATCCTCAGATGGAGCTGCTGCCGTTGTCCTTCAGAGAAGACAGAGCTGTCCTGCCAACAAGCAATTACTTGTGTCTATATTCATTGACAGAAATGTGAGGGAAGGGGAAGCTAGTTAATAGGAAGAAGAGGAACAAAACCAATTTTACAAATATGTAAGTAGCAAAGAAAAGAGAAAAGCTCTGTTCTATTCATTTTCACTGATGCTCAGGTGAAAATACTTTATTGTTTGAAATGAAATTACCTCAGATTTCTATCAGTGCAAACAAAAATAAACTTAGATCTGTCCTTTTTTTTATAATATAATTGCCTGCTTTTTAATGTGTCTGTAACGCTAGGCTGTTAGTGTTATGCCTATAGTAACTGTTTCTGTACAATCCCACTAAATCAAAGTTTGCCTTTTTAGGAGGAATTACCAAGGCCAGGTATTACGGATTATTTGAATTAGCTTACTCTGGTGGTCTTACAGGATTCAGCGCTCACAGCCTGTAGAGACAAGGGCTCCTAAGACCAACTGAGATGCTCAAGAACAGCTCTAAAGGTCAGTGGGCTGGGGACTTGTGTCTCAGAAAGCATCACTTCTGCCCATTTTGTATCACACTGATTAGTATCCACATCCCCTATATTAAGCAGAGACACAGCAAAACAGGTAGGAAGAGCTGGCAGGGCCCCATTCTGTACTGGGCGAATATTGCTATCCTGGATCCTTTTGCTATACTGTCTCTGCTGCTCTGGAGACTTATGCCTTTGATGTTCACGTCATACTGTAGATTCTAAAGTACAAGCACACACCATATGTCTCTGCTGGGAGCAAAGCAACTTGCTTTAGTAGAAGGAGCATAACAATGGAGGGTGCATTTCATATGCAAGTGAATTTTGTTCCAATGATCTGTTGGACTCTTTTTAAATTGGTCACTGTAATTTGTTCTCCACAGCTTCATAGGACCTAGAACATGAAACAGGTGTTCTAGCATCCCCTACTTTTCATACCAAAGTACTGCTCTAATTTTTATTTTTCTCCTGACTTTTTAGATTTCATGTAAATACATCCAGTGATGGAGACTGTGTCCATATAGATTCAACCTTCATCTCTACCAGAAGTTGCTCCTCACTCAAGAGCTTGCTTTGCACTCTCGGTCAGTTTAATGCCAACACAAGCTCGCAGCGGAGTACAGATGACTTTGTAAGTACAGACACTTCCTCCATATGAAGCTAGAATTCCACATGTTGGAACTCTCAGCTGTAGGAGATCACAGTATCCATGGAGGCAAGAGAAGCAGTGGAGGATGATCATATCCAAACTTTTCCAAAGTCATCTGGGAAACAACACAGGTGGTAATGGTGACTCCATGAAAAGACCTACTCTGTTTAAAAAGTGGCAGGACCACATCAGAAGTGATGATAAAATACTTCTTATAAAGAACAGAGTTACTTTTTGGAAATATTGTTTCACTGTTGAAACTGCAGAAGGACATGATAATGGATACTTAACTGGAGGACTCTGACAATAAGCTTCAGAATTGCAAAACATGATTTTTTGAGGCAGCTGAAAAGATCATTGGATAGACATGAGATCTTATGGAAAATGCAACTTGTAGTGAATCCAGTGGTTTGGTTATTCCTGTTTTCCACAGAGCTCAATAATTCTTTGCCTAAGAGTTCCAGTTCATCTTTGTGGCAAGTGGGTAAGATCTCATAAGGTGTTTTGACTTCCCTCACCTTCTCTCTCCATGGGGGGTTTCAAATGTGATTGGCATGTGATGCCCAATGGTAGAAGTGGGAGCTCTGTAAACCAGGATGGCAGAAAGGGACTAGGTGTTCCAGGGAATGGTGCTACTGTTACCGGCCATATAGTGTAGGACAAATTACAAATACTCTTCCTTACTCCCGAGGGTCGACCTGGAAATATGACTGCTATAACACCAAATTTCCCTGAAGATCTTGCTACTATGAAAGAGCTGCCTGCTTGACCCATGCATGGCTGCTGTTTTGGGAGGGCTGAGGAAGTCAACTTGGTTTGGAAGTGGAGGGACATATGTGTAACATGGAAAAGGTTCTAGGGCAGGATAAAGCAAGATATTGTAGTGCTTCTCTGTTTGCCTATCTAGGAAAAAAAAAGAATAGTTTTTACTGGATCCAGCCCAGCTATTTTATTAAGTGACTTGTGTGGGCAAGGATAGTTTAACAGCTCATGGGATTGGATGTATTAGAGCTAAATTGCATAGCAGCTTGGACTAATCTGTTTAGATTCTTGGTACTGGAATTCTTGGAATTAGTTTTGAAAATGGACAGTGGAGGACAGGGGAAGATCACCTGGAAGATCTCTGAGTGCCATCTCTCCCTGCTCTGTGGTTATTTTTTCTTGTCTGGTCTCTTTCTGGATCTGCAAGCAAGCTAGAAGTTGTGAGTTTCAGCAGATACCTGTACAATGACTCCTTCCCAAGATATATGATTTATAAAATGCAGTTACTGTCTTTACAAAGGTGTAACCAGGAGAAAGGCCTTTTGAGCTAGGAAAATGTGCTAGTCTAGGAACAGAATGACGAGTTAAGCCCAGAGAAGTTCACAGGGAAGGTGAAGAGTCTGGCATATGGATCCTCAGAGAACTGCGAAGAAGAAACTGCAAACTGCTGCAGATGCATTTGGTGTTTATCAAGCAGATGTACTCCTCTGGATGGAAAGAAACAGGTGAGACAAGAAATTGGAACAGAGAGCAGAGAGAGAGACAATATTTCTTAGTTCCCCATGAAAGTTCCTCAAGAAAGCACAAGAGCAGAAAGGGAAGCAAGCTGTAAGCAACCCTGGAGAGGGTTAGGAATCCCAGCATTAGGACATATTTCCTACCACAGGTCAGGTCAGAGGTCAGCTGAGGGAACGGGCATGAAGTGCCAGACAGGGTAAGAAGTCCACTGTGGCAGCTTCTCACTCCTGTTTCTTTGGTAAGAGCTGGAGGGGATGCCCCTGACACTATTACCCCGAAGATACTGCTGTCCTCCATAATGCTGCCAATAAATACCTAGAGGAATTACTACCTGCTGCACATTGGGTCTCTGTTTTTAGCTGAGCTTGATCCTCTGCTCTACGTTTGTGGTGATCCAAGATTGCTTTGTTTAGTTTATGATACCTGCTTGCTTACATGTGTTTAGTTGCTGTCAATAGGTGGGCACAGAACATAAGCTACAGTGACATTTACAAACTCAGTATAGGACCCGAGCCTGGCACAGCATGTGAGTTCCTCATGAGCCTGATTCCAGATGGTCACCCTCTGGAGTGCAGAAACCAAGGCACGATCCTTGTCCAGCTGCTGTTACATATTTTCCATTAAAGCATCCTTCCATGGAAGGCCAAAACAGCACTGGTGTCAAGAGCCCTGAGTGCGCATTGACCTGACCAGCCTCTCCTGGGATCTCTACCCACACCCCTTGCCCATGGGCCCAAGAGCCCCATTGCAGCTCAGCGCAGGGCCTTCAATCCATGCCTGAGCTGTTATAGGTATACTTGTCTGCAGCTCTGTCACAACCTCACATTAAAAGATGATGACTGTTTTGTCACATCTTACATGATGATTAGGGATAATTAAAATACCTTTAAGAATACTGAAACTCATGTGAGCTTCTCCTCATTTTAAGCTTTTTTTCTGTCAAGTATAACTTGCATAATATTCACCATTGTTGTGAGTTTCTCAAGCAAAGTTGATCTGAGGATAGGAACATAGCACCAGAATCATTACATTCAGGTGAACTGCTAAGTGCGTTTTCCTTTTAAACTTGAATTAGAGTAACAACCCACAAAAAGAGAACGTGAAGATAATACTGGCTTCCTATATTATTTAACCACTGTGGTTACGATTGAAATGGACTGGAGGGATATATTATTTCTTGTTTGTCTAGGTTATAAACTTCTTGTGTCGTGAGCTTTTTGGCAGACAGATCAGTTTTCACTGCATGATCTGTACAGAATCCAACACACTTGTCTGTACTCAATTAACACAATAGTAATTAGATTTATTACAACAATAACAGTAAATGTGTTTCTAAAAGTAGAGTTTCCCAATTCATCAATAATATTTTCCAGCTCCCAAAGTTTTAATGCACTCTGATTTACCTGTGCTTCCCCAGCACGCTTGGACATTATGTGAACATTGTCAGCAATGGATTCTTGCTCTCCCTAATTCTGTAATTGATGATGAAGTGATGATTTTCATTCAAAACAATTGCCTGGTACAGGCAAATAAAATCAGTTGATGAGAAATAATCAGTAGTTGGAAGCTTTGCACAATACTGAACAATTTCCCTGCAAATCTGTGGCCTCTTTCTTCCAATAGTGAGTCTAAAACTAGTCAGATCCTCATTATCTCAGGATTGCGTTGCAGGTTTCACAAATTTGAAGCCCTTTAACTATTATGGATAGAGCTGTGACTGCTATTCAACCACTTCATGCAAAAGAGGCACAAAATGGTTTAAACAAAAACATAGTTTTTAAAAAAATCATGCAGAAAATACAATCTAGGGCATATGTTTTCTGGGTGCTTCCCCCTCCTTTTGTGCATCACTGAATTTCTTAAGTGTTGACTTTTGAAACTGAATTCTAGCAACAGACCAGGTGAGGCTGGAAGCCTAATTTACAACTGTCCTCAATCCTGATACATTACCTGCAGCAACCCACCCCAAAAGGAATGGGACGGCATTCAAACGTTGCAGGATTTTTACACCTTATCTGAACTGTTGAAAACCGTTACGCTTGATCCAGGTCAAAAGCATATCTCAATCTTGTTTTAAAATGTAGATACACTTACTTAAAATGAGGGGTTAGAAATATCAAAATATGACAAAAGAATGCATCTACAGAATAGTTTTATTTAACTTGATTTTTTTCTAGTTTTTCATCTCACTCGGACCTTCCCTTCCTCTCTGCCCCAGAAGATTTATACTCCTAGTCCTGCCAAATCTGTTGTACCATGATTTCACATCGCATTAAGGCCAGGTCTGCACTGGCATAAATCCTGCCATGCCTAGCGTAACTGATTCAAGTGAGGCATGAGCACATGCTCTTAGTTACAAACCACATGCAGTAGTGTTTACACTTGCTTTGTGCTTGCCATGGGCGATCTCACCAGCAGAGGGATACAGTGGCATCCACATGCACTGGGCATAAAGTCTGCCAGAACATCACCCTAGAAAAGTCTTTTTTCTTCCCTGCCCTGCATCTCTTAGTCTCCTCAGCCCTTAGTGGGGGGAAGAAGGCAGGGGGAGCATGTAGGGCTGAGCAAAGATGCATGAAATACAGAGCTTTACTCTGCAAAGTCACTCCTAGCTTTAGCTATGTCTATCCCACCTGCAGAGCTGCTGGATCAGATGCCTGTTGGTCCAGGACAGCTCTTGAACCTTTGGATGCTCTACAGTCCCTTGAACCCTTGGGTAGTCTACAGTATTTCCGTAAGGTGAGAGATATCTGTGATGCAGCTACCTCTGTGCTGGGGGAGATTCATATACTTTTGTGGCCATTCCCTGAGCTGAGCTGCCTGGAGTCCTTGTACAAATACGGTGTGTATTTACCTGACTGAAATCTAGACACTGATGACTAGCTATGGTTCTCATTGCGTGTGCTGTGTCCCTTGCCATCCATGGGCCGTGGGAACTGCAAGGTCTACGGGAACAGCAGATGATGAGAAAAAGTTGTGGCAGGGCCTCGTTAACCTTCTCCTCAGACAGGGATGATTTAATGACCATCTAATGCAGACAGTCAAATTTGCTGTGTCTATTTTTAAGAACTGAAACAACAAATGTACAATTCAGTCAGATGAAGCTGTCTGCCTTCTATGACTTTGGAAAGGTAGGAGTACTTGTCTTTCTCATCAAATTCACTTTTAGTGTTTCTTGGCATCTAAGTGCTTTCTTCAAAACTATTTGAACAATTCAGAATTTAATTGATTGAAACAGTGTCAGCACCCCCTAAAACAATGTATTCTTTGTAGAATTACAATTTGTACCTCTTTTAATATCTTAATATTTATATACAATCAAAAATAAGTTATCCAAGCTTGCAAATGATAGTTTAGGAGAGCTGGGCAAGGAAAGGTTCAGAATTCCACAGTCTAGCTCTTTCAAGCCTGTGAGCACTTAACAACAACAACAACAACGGAAACTGCTATAAGATTTTCTATAAGAATAACACAACAATATTAATGGTTTTATTAACACTAGAGCTTTCAAAATTTGATTAATTCCTTTTCCCAATATTTTTTTTCTGAAGTACCACTGCTTCTAGTGACGTTTCACAACAGTTCTTTTAAAATACAGTTCCTTTAAAATAAATTATTTTTAAAAAGTTGTATATAAAATACTACATTATTTTTTGGCAGAAGGCAGCTGATTATTAAATTCAACCCAGTCCCTTGATATTAGTTCCATTTGTGACATACACTGTGTAATACACCCAGACTGTTCTACTCAGACTTACAAAGATCTTCAAACACTTAAAATAATGTCATCACATACAGTCTTGTGTGAAGCTTTCTCCTGATAACGGGCTGCACTGCAGAAGGAAACAATATTGTGCCTCTGGTCTCCCCCAAAGACTGGGAGCCTTCAGATCATTGTCCCCACAGCCGTATTCTGTTGCTGTTACTGGAAACGAACAGGAGTTGGTAAGGCACTAAACTGGGAAACGTCCATGTGTTGGCACTATCCTTGCCTCTGATTTACTTTCACCTGAATATGTTACAGTCCAGCACCATATTTAGTCTTAGTTATTTCACTAAGTACTTGTGTAAGACAGAAATCAAGTTACAGACAGTCTAATACTCTTCGTTTTCCAGCAGCATGCTCTTTAATAGCTGGATTACATCTAGAGATGGGGACAAAATAAATTAGATATTCTTCATATTATTCATTACTCTATACATTTTCATATGCAATGAAAAGTAACTAGGTAAATATAAAAACAAACTATTCAATACTTTTTCTTTTTAATACATTCTTAAGAGCAAACAATGATAAAAACATTTAATAAGCAATATGGTCATAAGCAATAATAAAAATATTTTTCTGTCTCCCTTTTAGAATCCACATCATTCTTTAGGGAAATAGTGGATAATTACGAGATGGCAGGGCCTCCACCCTCCTGAAAATACAGGTTTTATTTCCCAGGAACATTAAACTTGCTTCTGCCACCTCATATAGATTCTTCAAAAAAAAAA